TTTCCTAAATGAAATTAATAAAAAAATGCAATTCTAGTGAAGCATGACGAATTAAGGATTTATTTCTAGCAAACTTTATAGGCGAAATAGTCTAAGGGGGTTATTCATTGGGACATTTAGGAGAATAATGGGATAATTTTAGGAATTCTATTTCATAATGTTATTCATTTGGACAAATGTAACAAGGATATTACCTTTTGTGTTATTAGTTTTTTGGAACACTACTAAGACAATTTTACCACTTGGGATAAAATTATCCCACTCATATACAAAAATTTTATGCTAATAGTAAAAATTTACCCCATCCTCCATATTAGAACAATTTTGTTCCACTTTGAAGACAATTGGGATACTTTTCAAACCTTTTTGTATTACTTAACTAATACATGCTAATTATATTATAAATATATGACATGATATATAAATATAAAGTAATAATATGTTCAATATATTATATTATCATGTAATAAAATAAAATATTATTATAGTTTAATTTATATGTATAATTTATTTTATGATATTTATTATATATTTGCAATATCACATACTATATTATATAATAGTACAACATATTTATTATAATATTTTAATAACATATATTATTATACAATATATTATATTAATTGTAGTTGATATTTTATTGTAGCAATTATATTATAGTGTATTATATTAAAATATTATAATAATATAGTATAATATAGTATAATATATTATAACATATTAAAATTAATAAATATATTACTATATTACATTTAATTATATAATATAAACCATGTTATGTGATTATATTATATTAATATAATAAATTTATTATTGTACTATAATATAATACATTTTAGATATTTTTATATATCATAGTAATTATCATATAATATTATACTATGTTATAATTACAATATAGTATTTTAAATAATATTATATTAAATAAAAATATTATAATATTTTATGCGGTAAATTTTAACCTATGACTCTGTTCTAATATATTAAATTAGATATTATATTAAATACATTGTTTATATATTATATCAGTTATTATATATATTATATCAGTTATTATATATATGACATACTATATATATATATATATTGTTATTGTTATGGTGTTCACTCACCTAAGATACGAATAGTGACAAAATGATACAATAAGAGTCATAAGCGAAACAAGTACAACCATTTGGTCGGCTCCCACAGTCACCTCTCGGCCTTAGGGTAAGGAAAGACCTAGTCGACTCTCTCGAGCCTAGGCGTTCGACTTCCAAGTCGGATTCCAAGCCATTGGTACCTCTTCAAGGTAAACCCAATGCACAACGACTCTTTAGTCGGATAAACAAGTCATTGGCTCTTTATCAAGGTATGTTTAAGGCACAACATATGGTCGAATCCTGCAGTACTACTCAACCATCATGGCTAAATTGTAAGACATTGGTATCTTATCAGGGGTAAATCCAAGACATAATTACAGAGGCCTCGGCCCTACCGACTCATCAAGTCGACACTCTGGTGTCGACACAAGAGACGATGTTAGTCGGTACGAGAGATCCTGACCTGCCAGACGGGTCGATATCTTTATATCGACTCAAAAGATGGTTATTAGCTGAGATAAGTCAACATTTCAACCAGTCGAACAGGCCGACACTCCTAAGTCGATGCGAAAGGCGGTGTCGATCGACCCTATTATTAATGACGATCCTATTTAGGGCACTCGGTCACTCACTGGGCATTTATCAGAAACGATTGGAGGGACATTCTCTGCTGTTGACTAAGTTGAGAACTCGGCCCCAGCCTCAAGCCTATCCCCCAGAGCACATGTCGACTTCTCAGTCCACCTCGGACAAGCCTTATCCAGATTTTGGCCTGATAAGTCTCCATGACTTGTCAGCCTAATCACTTCCTAGAAAATATGGAGACACCATCTCCCAGGCTGAAATGACTTCCCCTCTAGTCGCCAACCGACATCTGTAAAGCGAGGGACGACTCAGTATGCTCACGTGGCTTTTACGAAATTCACAAGTCACTTCCCGGATATCGCAAAGACGTCATTTCCCATGCTGAGATGACTTTCCCTCCAGTCATCAGTTCACACCACTAGAGCGAGGGATGATTCACTTTTCAGCTCACACTTTGTCACCGTCATTCTGCATGGCCGAAAAAACTAGTCTGTCATGGACATCCGCTCCATATATGGAGGATGTTCACCATCAAAATGAAAGGTAACCTGATCTAACCTAAAAAACAACTCTCAGAGTAATTTAAACCTTCCTCCTGATCTAAACTGAGAGATGATCATCTCTAATGCACATAGCATAAGAACACGTAGTTCTAAACTCCACTCAAGCTCACGTTCATCAACTGACTTGATCGTCGGAGGAACCATAGGGGAACCAGTCCCCGTCATCTCACGAGTTCTTTCTATCTATGCAGTGCGGACATCAAGCCCTCGTTCAAGAACTAGGCATAAAGTCGGAGAAGAAAACGACCCTCCATCATCCTTTATCACCACGTAAACATCCTCTTCTGGATTAATTGGTTGTATTTTATATTATATTATAATATATTAAATTAAATAATATATTATTAAAGTATTATATTAAATATATTATTCATATATTATAAAATTTATTATATAATGTAGCATACTAATAATATAATGTAATATAATATAATAAGTAATAATATTAATTAGTAATTATAGTACAACATATTATATTTTAATTTAAAGTAAAATAATGTTTATATTATAATAATATACTAAACGAATTGGATAAGTTAATTTAGAAGTAATTAATGGCTAAAATTATATTTTAATAAGGTGTCACATAATCAATTATCCCACATGAATTGTCAGATCAAATGATCAAATTGTCTCATTATCCCACTTTACCCCACTCAAAATATCCCCAATGGATAAAATTATTCAATTAGAACAATTTTCCCACTTGTCCCCAGTTTATCCGAACAAATAACCCCTCTAATAGATAATCAGATTTTGTGGTGGATTTTGCTGGAGCTAGTGGTCCGCGGTGTCTAATAGACAACCAGGGTGCCCTTTTTATTGATATGACATAGATACTCTTTTCCCTGTTCACATATTACATAGAAGGGTGTGTGAATTAATTTAGAGGGGTGAATTGGACATTCTGGAATTGATTTGGGCTTTTATGGTAAATATCTCAATTTACGGTTATGAATTTGACATTCTGAATTTGATTTGGGTTTTTATGGTAAATCTCTCGGAAAGCAACAGCTGTTGGCTGGGGCCCAAAGTGGTAACTCTTCAAAGTCAAAGCAGAGTCCCACGGAACGGTCAAGGGACATGCACGAGAAAACTTCAATTTCTCGTCTCGCGGTTTCCAAGTTTGTCATTATTTAGGTCTGCCGGCTCTCGCGGTGAGTATAAGGATCCATGAATAATTCTTTCCTTTTTTCGGTTTTGACAGAAAGAAAACTTAGTTATTAAGAATAGTTTTCTTTATTTATTTTTTAAAAATAAGAATTTGAATTCTGATATCTAGAATATAAATTTTAAATTCATGCCATCTCTCATGGTCTTCAAGCTTGTAGCATTTTGTGAATTTGAGAATGGTGCAGAAATAGCTAATTAAAAATACATAGGGCTAATACATAATGATCATATTATCATATTAACATCCATACATAGAATCTACGGAAATGATTGAGATATACACTGTAATATTGAATTCAACCTATAATAGATCAATCTTTTTGTGTTTGTTGCTTTAGTATTGCATATAATTCTAGATTTATCTCATTCATTGTATTAAATGTGGGATTAATAGTTTGTCTGGTCAAGTAAATAGAAAGATATGCTGTACATGTATAAGTATAGAAGAATGACAAATAGATATAATGTTTCTATTAAATTCCATTAATTTTCCAAATAAAGCATATTAAAAATATGTTGATGAAAAACATTCATTGTGAATACGTGATTCAACATGTTATTTGATTTTATTGTGAATGAACAGGATAATAATGTACTTGTGTATTTGAAAGAATTTTTAGTCTATGTTATTTATGATTGATAGAAATTATTCCTCCCAACAAACTAACTCGCCTTTGCTAATTTTTAGTATACGATACTCAATTATAATAAACATCATAATCCAAAATGTTATCATTTAGAAATTTCTTAGGAAGGAACATTAAGTTGTCTAATATTTGTTACAACGACCAAGAGGTTATTGTAAACCAAGAATTATCACAGTTGTTTTTCAAATTAAATGCCTTCTGTGTGGATATCTCGCATAAAAAGTTCTTTTACGCTCACAAGAAAAAACAACTAACTGACAAACAAACCGAATTGTGCTAGCGATAAACGTTTTTGCGCATGCAAACCGTCAGTATTTCCGTTAGATCTTCATAATAATCCATCAACATGTACAACAAAATAAATATTGATATCATGACTATCGCAACCAATGTACAGAAAAACCGTGACGCTGATTTTCAAATATACACAAGAATTACTGGTTGTGAACTTCCACATCACTTTTAAATGAGCTATTGAAAAATAAACAACAACGAACATGGTCAATATCACAACTTCTGTACTTCTTGAAGGTTCATTGATGTAATTAATTAACATCTTATATAAATACTTACGCGTGTAAAGTACAATAATTATAGAAAAGGGGTAATTGTAATATAAAAAAAGTAAAACAGATCAACTCAAAGTTGAAATTCTCGAAAGATAAGCTATAAAACCTAAATTTTCACCTAACAAAATCCATAACATGTCCCCAAACAAAAATCTTTGATAGTGACATCTGTTGCTCATTCCCAACACCCTCGACGCTGCGCACGTTAGTCCTGATGCGCCTCCTACATCCACCGTCTTTTAACCCCTCCCCAACTCATATCCAACCGTCGCTCTTTCTTAAATCAAACCGTAATTTTAGATTATTATTTCGTGTAAAACTTTCAACTAAAAAATAATTGTGAAAATGACAAACCTATGTAACAGGAGAAAAGAAAGGAAAGAGACAAGAGAGGGAGGGAGAGAGAGAGAGCGTGTGTGTGAAGCAGAGAGATCCTCTTCTCTATAAAACCTCTCTAATGGTTTCTATTGCTCCCCTCTCTTCTTAAATTCTCTCCCCCTTTCCTCTCTCTCTCTCTCTCTCTCTCTCTCCCCAATGGAATTCGATCTCGAGAATCCGCTCATCAGCAACGAGGATGACTTGATCTCCGATCTCTTCGCCGCCGAATCCGATCACATGAGCTCGTTTGCTGGAAACGTCACCCAGGCTTCCCGCCAAAACGCGGTCTCTTTAATCATTCAGGTAACCAAAAAATTTTAGAAAAAGTCACCAATCTGTGGCGAAAAAAATCAAGAAATCGATTGATCTGCTATCCATCTTTAATTTTCTTTCCTTTTTTGATGTTTTTTTAGGCGCAGTTCACTTGGAATCTTGATCCGTTCTTGAGCTACCTCGCTGTGAACTACATCGATCGTTTCCTCTCCAAGAGAGAAATCCCGGTAGCAACTTCGAAAAAATCTATCAGATCGGAGGTTTTTTTTGGCCGATCTGATCTAAAATAGGAATTTATTTAACGAATTTTGATTATTACAGAGTGGAAAACCATGGATCGAACGGCTCCTCACCATCGCCTGCCTCTCTTTGGCTTCAAAGATGAAGAAGGTGGACTTTTGCCTTGCTGATCTTCAGGTACTTCCAATTTTCCCCTTCGATTTATATTTTTTTTGTTTTATCTTTGATATTGATCGATTTCCCCAAAAATTTCAATGGAACAGAGAGACGAGGGGTTTATTTTCGACGGACAAACGATTCATCGGATGGAAATGCTTGTGCTTGGGACTTTAGAGTGGCGAATGAGATCGATCACTCCCTTTTGCTTCATCAATTACTTCATCGCTTTCTTCAAGCCCGATCAGCTTCCTTATCTTGAAGCTCTCAAGAATCGCGCTCTGGAAACTCTTTTCTTGGCTCAGAATGGTATTCATCGATCCTTTTCCCCGATTTTTTTTTTTTTTTTGCTATTTTTGTTTATTTCGCTTCCTAATACTTTCTTTTTTGTGAAATTTAGAGATCAAGATTCTTGAATTTAAACCCTCTCTTATTGCCGCATCGGCGCTGCTCTCCGCCGCCAACGAGCTCTTTCCAATCCAATTTAATGCATTCAAATCCGCAATCTCAGCTTCTGAATTTGTACATAAGGTGTGCAAAAAGATTTTATTTTTCGTAATTGTTGATTATTTAATAACGTGCTTTGTTAATTTTGATAGTTTTATGGGGGCTCGTGTGTTAATAATGCAGGAGAAGTTATCGGAGTGTCTGAGCGTGATGATTGACGTGGCGATGGACAGCTGTGAATCGACGTTTGAGATGATCTCAAGCTCTAATACACCGGTTACGGTGCTCCGCGGAGCACATGATCTCTCGGCTACTGAAAGCGACCTGACCGTTGGATCCAAATCCGACGATCGCAATGTTAAGAAGCGGAGGACTGCTGCTGCTCTTTCTGGTCTTAGACTGAAGCCGAATTAAAATATTAAGAGATCGGAAAAATGAAAAAAGACATTATAGAGAAAAAATCAAAAAAAAAAAAAACTATTATGGTTTGCTGTGGTAATATATTTTGGCTTAATTTTATTTTATTTATTTTCCGGTTTTTTGTTGTTTCGGGAAAGCTGGAAACAGACGAAGGGAGAGGACAAACGACAGCTTTGGACTGGATAAAAAACGTGGTCTGTAATTTTTGCAGTTTAGTACGTACACAAATTAGAAATTAGTGCTTCTTAGTTAGTTATTAAATTTGTCCCCGAAGGTTTCAGTCAACGATAGTACGAATCTGTTACGTGTCTGGTCCAGGGGAAACCAGTACGTCATTGAAAATCCAACGCCAGAACGACGGTTTTGCTCTTTGGAACGGCTGGATGATTAACACGTGGCTGCACCGTAGCTGGCTGGCTACGTATGTTGCATGCATGAAGTTGTGATTTACGTACGCGATTCTGTATACTGTACCCCGCGTGCAAGGCACGTGGTCGGAACTTTAGAAAAATAAGCAGAGGTTTGTTGAGTAATTGACCATTTAAGATTTGATATTTACTGAAACATGAAATTTATTACTTTTAGGACTAA